TAACCTCCTTCAGGTAGTCATGCACAATCTTCCTTGCACAACAATCAATCTGGTGGGGAATCCAAGGAAATACCACCCATAACATCAATGACCTACCATAGAATGCTTGCTACCTGAGGAACCATACAGCATGGGACGTACCTTTCTCCTGAGCATCTCCATATGATGCCCATCTGAAGACGTGAGGCCAACTCTTGCCTCATCTGTAAAGAGAATTCGTCTCCAATCTTTCAATGTCCAATTCGCAAGTTCCTGTGTGAATCAAAGCCTGGCCGTTTTCTGAGCTGTGGTAAGAAGAGGTCCAGCCGTGAGGTTATTTTCATTGAGCCTTCTTCTTACAATCCTGGAGGAAATTGAAACATTTCAGACTTGTCTTATCAGATTTATCATCTCATTTCCTTTAATGCTGCTGTTTCATAGAGCCTGATGATGGTTAAATCTATTGTCACTCTCATCCGGAGACCTAGGTCAACCCTGTCCTAGACTTCAAGTGTGAAGACCTGTTTCTCTTAAGCGCCGAAGGACCCTTCCTATAATAGAATGATTTATACTCAGTCTTCTGGCGACTTCACGCTGGCTGTATCTTTCCTCTAATAATATTATGACCCTGACACTGTCATACTCTCTCAAATGCCTAACTGGAGCCGTTCAAAAAGGTTTAAGAATAAGAATATCAAATGAAATGAATGAAGAAAAAAGATTAACTGAAAGCGATCTTTAGGTGTAGCAAAATGAAAGTGCAGACATAATGCTATTTTTTGGCATTAATTGGTACAAAAGTAATTAAAGGAAGTAATCAAAGCATTATTTACTATAGAAAGACGGGGGATTTAATTTTAAACTAAATAAATTGAGTAGTGTGTAAATTTGTCCATAGTGTATAAAATCCAACATACATATATACACAACATACAATATTTACTGATCATTCGATGTTAGCAACTTTTATAACTGAAAGGATTTTGAATGCCCTTCACATTCTCTCCAAACCACCTTTTCCTCCGAACAGTATATTTGAACAAATTATCACGTGTTCCAGGTCATCGAAAACATGAAATCTACCACATTTGTACATGTGCTTCCTGATTTTGTGTAGATACATCTCCACAGGATCCTTGATTTGCTCTGAGCCTTGTACTTGTGTTGTGCAGTCCTTTTTTGACATGCTACAAACTTGAAATAAAGGTTCCTATTAATATTAGAGTTTATGGATGTAAAAAAAGCTCCTTGTGTCCAAGTTTTCATTTTCCTTATACCATGACCTTAACCTAATGCTTTATAACCTGAACAGGAATAAAAATGAGCTGTAGAATACAAAGAAAACACTTTTTTAATAATATACANCATATATTATTTATATTTTTTGTTATTGTAAAATGTCTTTTTTATAGTGGATTTCGATCCGTAAATAAATAAATAAATAAATAATCCTACAAAATGATAAAATATACTTTCTGTAGCTCCTGTAGAGTCCTGGTGACATAATCGTGAGAGAATAGTTCACTCCTAAGTTTCATAATTGTTTGTATTTTATGCACTTTATTCCTTTGTTTTATTAAAAAGTTGTTTGGCACTCCGTATAATACACCAAATTATTTCCTCTACTTGGAATTGGGCTGTAAACCTCTGTTTGTCTGTGAGGAATAACAAACTAAGAGAAATAAAACCAAATGTTGGCCCCTGGGGCTCCTCAGTGTGCGATTAGAGGCTGACTGAGAGTCAGGCATAGTAGGCTTACCCACGGGTATCTTATGGGTGGAGAACCAGCTCCAGTATGCGATTGCTGCAGAAAATTGCTTAAAATAATAAAACAACAATGAAGATATCATAATCTTACAAGTCAATTAGCGGATATTTTTGGAGATGATCCCCCTGTTATTAATCAACGCTTTGATTTTTTGAAAACAGTGCGTTTCATTCACAAAATACACCCTTGCAAGAAAAGGGGCTGCTACACCGCTGATAGGACCCGAACCCTTCTGTGGCATAGGAACCCACACTATTAACGAGAAGGACAAAAAGAAAATGAGGGAACTATGGAACTCACTCATTGAACACAGAAAATCCAAGAATCTTCTAACCAATTTTGGAAGGAAAGAAATTACAGAATGTGTCAAGGGAAGCAGGAACAAACTGCGAATCCTAATAGGATTCCTAACAGGACACTGCAAGTTAAATGGACACTTAAAGAAAATTGGAATAATCCAAGAGGCAGAAGAGACACATCTACTAATAATCTGCGGAGCTACATTAGCCCGCAGGAGGAAATGTTTTGGGATGTATAATGTGACCATAGAAGAGCTTCAACTATTGAAACTAGGCCAATCAAGTTTCTTGATGAAATAGGACTCACCGATGTGCTTTACGCAGAGCACGGGGGATACAATAGCTCTTAAAGGGCGCTGTATATTATACCCTGAAACTATATCTACATCTACATTGACAAAACATAAATAATATGTGTTTGTGTATGTATGTGTACATACTTGCAGTAGAGTGGAGAGTGCAAGATGGCAAAAGAATTTTAAAAAAAAGATGAAATAAGAATAATAATTAAAAAGTATAAACAAAATGCAATACTGCATTATTGAATGTAAGTGGTATTACTTGGTGGGCGGTGTGCCCTTGACTTGGCCTTGTTCGCCTGCTCAGTGTGCTGTCCGTAGTCCAGCACGTCCAAAGTGATCAAATTGAAACCTGATCCTGAGATTGAACACATTTAAAAACAACCTTTGTTCATGTATACATTGAAGAGCATCTGAATTATATACCAAGGGTTTTGGATCTAAAACAAGGTCGTTTACCGTACCTCATTCAATGAGAAACAATAAAAAAAAGTTTTTTGGTTTCAAAATGTTGTCTTGCAGATTGAATTGCAATTCAACATTTGCATGAGAGATGTCAATGATTTTAGGATGTGGTCAGTGGAATTATTACAGGCAGTAGAAACTTTTCATCACTAGGAATGTAAGCAAAGTCCAATGTTTTACTTATCATTTAGCATACAAGGGATTGGATTTCAATCTTGGCGACAGCAATTACTTGCACAAAGAATATCATTGGGATTTAATAAAAATAGTCTTTCATGCCAGAGGTCAATTAATATATTTAAATTCTAGACCTTGGCTGGAGGATTTTATTTTATTTTTTTTAAGAAAGAAAAAAAGGAAGTTTAGGTAAAGTTATAAAGTAATACTGTTATAGGTAATGGAGGGTCATATGTAATTCTGCTTGTTTGGAAAAGTTTTAGTCAGAAAAGTGTCTCTCAAGGAAGTGACCTCACCATCTTATTTTTAGACGTTTTTAATGCACCTCTACGCGGATGATTTAGCAATTTTATGTTTTGGAAATGATAACACTTATACAAGAAATTTTAGACAGTTCTTAATTATGGCTGAAAAATTCTGTGAAATTTCTCCATGTGACCTGTAAGGTGATGGACATATAATTGTTTTTTTAAATTTAGAACAATGCATTTAGGAAAAAGTGTGACCACAGTTTTAGTGGTTTAGATTTTAAAACCAAAATTTTTCATTACTAATCTTGGCATTTTGCTAGTCGATGCACAACTGGTCTCATAGAGCAATACAGCAAATATAGGTAGACCATGATGATTGGTAATAAAAAAATTCTGTTTTTAAGATCTCAACCTCTCTCAAAGTTGTTTCAATAATCTTTGCTAAGTGAAGACAAAGGTTCTCGCCTATGCTGCATATTAATAATGAGATTATAAATTTTTGTTGACTCAATAAGTTACCTTGGCTTGATCTTTTGTGTGTCTCAATTGACTAAGTCTATCAGTAAAAGCTCAATCCATAAAAACAGTTCACTGTCCAGTAAACAGCTCCTGGGAAAAAGCATAACCAGATAATCTTAACGTGGGTGCTTAGACACAACGGGTTGAATGATGCTAACAAAAGCAGGAGCAGCTGTCACACCCCTTGGATCTGAACCACAAATTGGCATGCACCAAAGCATGTAAAGAGCAGAACTGAACAAATGGAAAACCGGGTGGAGTGCTCAGGGTGCCTTTTGCCTCGGGTTGTGGTAGGATGTGGACTTTTCCACAGCGCTGTAAGTGGTTTTTATCTATATCCTCCCAATGCACCCATAAGAGAGGGCGGAATTCCCACATGAACTCTTTTATGACTGCCAAGCTTGGGTCTGGAAACAGTACATCCTCTTTACAAAGGCCGACACCTAAAGAAGTAAGTAAAGACAAACCACAGAAAGCCCTATACTCGTTAAAGGATGTACACTTCGAGACACACTGAATGTTATTGCATTCACTGTCTTAAAACCGTTGAGAACCAAATGTAATAATTACTATTCTCCTTCTAACAAATATACTTACCTTTCATTATATACTGTTCGGCCATTTACGATAATTTTTGACTGTAAAGGGAGATTCATACATACCAATATGTAGCACATCCAGTTAAGACACAAAAAAATTGTTAATATATTATCCATATGAGTATTCACTTCTACAGTTATTGAGCGGAACGCGCACGTATAGAGGCCAGCCTTGTCGCAAAGAATATTTGAACAGTGCTAGTGCTTGTCTATAGCATTGACACGATTAGTATGAGTTATTTTGTCTGAGCTGATACGTCGGCTGTAGTTAGTTATTGAAGGCTAAAGTCTGAAGTATTTAAAAAATCTGTCTTCATTGTCTACCAGTTCTCTCTAGAGAGTGAAGAATTTTCTTTCTTTTTAAATTCATTGGATGCATAGCATATCTTTTTTTCCCTACTTCCACACAATTCAATTTCTTTCCTTTTTCTTCAAGTAAAATTGCTACAACAGCTAATTATTCAACCAAAAAGTTGTTAATCATGTTTAAGTCTAAACAAAGTAGGTATGTGGTTCTTGTACCATTTGACAATATGTTTTTCAAATTATTCTTTTATTTAAGTTCAATGGCTATGTTAACAAACAATCAACAAAATAATAGTTTTATATTATTAATGCATGAAACAAAACAAAGAAAAACATTATTTAGTGAACAAACTCTTTATTTTAATTTTTCAACACAGGCATTATACAAAAAATCATATTAGCTCTTGGCTAAATTTAGAATTGACAAACATATCCTGGAATGCGTTACTCACTGGTCTTTTTATCTTCAACTTTTTCCTGTGTCTTTGGTGGAGCCTTTTCTTTTTTCTTGCTTGCTGTCTTTTCTTTCTGGGACTCTGGTTTCTTTTTTGCAGCCAGTTTCCTAGTACGAGGCTCGGGCTCTTTCAAACCGCTTGTGGCATCTCCATCGCCTCCTGCTGTTAACAAATGTAAAATAGAAGCTTTATTTAAATTGATTTTGTGGAAATATATTCTTTTTCTTGGATAGATGTACAGGAAAAAAACACAAAAACAAATCAATTTCAGTGGCAATCGGCATTTGGCAAATCGGCCACCATTTGCCTTCCCTATTTTGTGATTTTGTGAAGCATTGCAGTACAGGCAGGAGGTAAACCGAGCCTGCTCTGCCAATTTCCACAGAAAATGAAGCCCAACCAGAACACCATACCTGACATCCCCATTAGACCAGCGGTTAACTAAGCATAGATAGGCAGATCAAAATGACTGATAACAATCAAATTACATGAATATGGTTCTTTAAGTTTTCAGATTCTTCCATAAGAAGAAAATAACAACAGCACTGATCGCATTGAGACAATTTATCAATTTCAACTGTAGGATGTATAATCCTAGTGGTACTATCAACAAACTTATCCTACCTCGGGAAATCCTGTTTTCAAGAGCTAAGCACTAAGCCACCCACACAAAATCTTTTTTCAAAATGATCCATGGTGAATGATGGAGTGAGTGCGGAGTTCAATTTTTTTTTAAATATAGTTCCTACTCACAGTAAGTTGTTTCCCAACGATCCGGATTTTGAGCCCTTANGAAAAATTATTTTTTTTAAGGAGAGTTCGCAACAGCAGAGGTCACATCATCCCTCAGGGTGTGGTTTTTTTTTTTTTTTTTGGGGGGGGGGGAAGCCCATTTGTAAGTATGTCGGGTACGACGAATGCAGGGCCGCTAAATTCGAACCCGGGCGAGCTGAGCGCCGTGTCAACGCCTAACCCGTTGCGGCCACCGACGTCCCCTAAATTGTTTTTATACACTGGTTTTTTTTTTCTAGCATGAAAATACTTTTCCTCGTTCACACATTGGTGAAAAAAAAAGTTAAAAGTTGTTTGTTTTAAATAGTTTAGAATACGAAAATTCTCAATAATTCGTAACTCGACTAAGTCAAGAGGGTTAAAAAAAAGCGCGGTGAGTTGCGGGTTTGCATACTCAGACTTTTGCCGCTCTCGGTTGACTCCAGTGTGGAGCTCACGGCCTAAAACCCTACAAACTTGAACTTGTGAATCATAAAACATTATTTGCTATTAATTAGAACCTAAATACAATCAACATATCAAGTTTCATAAGAAAAAACTCCATATCTGGGTGAAGTCTCAGATTTCGGTTCCACGTAGAATGAGTTAAAGTGTGAAATAATGAGTAAAATGATTATTTATGGAACAACAATCTTCATATTAAATTAAATTTTAAATTAGAGTACGCACGGATTCTACAAAAACGTTAGGTTAATTAGTAATCGGTTAAATCTGGAATGCATGGGCGTTTGCCCGAAACAAATACTCAATATAGTTTTCCAATTCTCACCTTTCTCCTGCTTCTTTGACCGGGTGTTTCTCTCTTTTTTCTTCTTGAGGTTCTTTTCTTTCTGACCGTCCGGTTTCTTTTTAGCTGCAGGTTCTGCGAAAGTGGGCTCAGGCTCCTTCTTAACCACAGCGGCATCTCCATCGCCTCCCTCGACATCAGACAATTTTCTCTTCAGTTCGGAGCTCTGATCACGCTCGGACGATGGATTCTCTTCCATTTCTGCTATTTCCCCTTCGTCCTTTTTTTCGCGTAATTCAGCTTCCTTCTCGTCGGGCGCAGCTACTTCAGACACCACGTGGTCATCAGAAGGCCCTTCTTTCTTCTCAATACTGCTTTGTTGCTCCTTTAAGGCTTGCATAATCTAAAAAAATCATCATCATAACTCAGTTTTAAAACGTCTACTAGGTAAATTCAATTAATAATGAAATCTTACGAAAAGGGTTAGCGGTGAGACGTGGAGACGTGCTGACGAGAAGAACAACGGAAGAAAAATGGCGGTTAACGGTCGAAAGTCTCTTTAAATCCCCACTACCGAACAACGTGGCAATCACCGCTGACACAATCAGTTTTTGAATTTTTCAATGTCCGATATTTGAGCATATTTGATCATCTTAAGTTTTGAAAACTTCGCCGAAAGTAGTCCAATAATATGTTTTTAACAAAAAGCCCATTGATTAGCAAACACTCGCAAACTTGTGATGATATATAAACTAAACTGACGGGTTTGATTCTTACCATTTTTAGAGATAAACTATTTTTTTAGTCTAATAAAAAAAATAAAGTATTAATCTAGTTTATTTAATAAAACTTTCGATAATTTTTTTTTGTTCTCTGTGTATATCAGACCTCTCTTACAATGTAATTGTTTTTACATCCAAAATAAAACAGTACTTTCTTTAAAAAAATGTTGAAAGCATTTTTGTCATTTAAATTAAAAAAAGACCTAAAGCATAAATAAATTTTCAAAAATTAAAAAAAAAATTGCGACAGCGGTGATTTTGGTGAAGTGGGGGCCTGGGCATTTTACATCTCGTACCGGCACTAGTTCACTGGAACGTCGGTCCGCCATTTTTCTACAGCCGTTCTCGGTATCACGTCTTTTTCCACAACTCAACGTTAAACAATTTTTTTGTAAGATTTTATAATTTAATTTATGATAAAACGGTTTAAACAAATATATTTTTTTTTGTTTTTAGACGATGGAAGCCTTGAAAGAGAGACAAAGCAAAACTCAACCTCAAGATGGACCTGTTGACCACGAGGCGAAGACCGATGAGAAGTCATGCCGTGGAAGGGAATCAGAGGTCTTCGAGCCGTTATCGGTTCGCGACGAGAAGACCGTCGAGGAAGATTGCGAGCAATCGCACGAAGAGGAAGTCGAAGAACTCGAAGAAGAAATAGATGAGGGTCCATCTTCCGAGCGTGATCAGGGCTCAGATTTGAAGAGAAAGCTGGCGGATGTCGAAGGAGGCGGTGATGGGGATGCCGTGGGCGGTCCTCAAGAACCTGAACCCTCTTTCACAGAGCCTGCAGCGAAAAAGAAGCCGGGCGAACGGAAAGATAAAAATCTCAAGAGGAAAAAGGAAAGAAAGACCCGGTCAAAGAAACAGGAGAAAGGTGAAGATTCTAAAAAGACCGTCGGGTAATTGGATTCCGGTAAATGTCCATACATTCTAGATTTAGCCGAGTACTAATTAAGCTAATATTTTTGTAGAATGTATGTGTTCACTCTTCAAACAAATATTTATAATATAAAGATTGCTGTTCCCTAAATAATCACCTTTTGTAGTATGTCATATTAATACAAAATCATTAACATCTCTGTAACCCGATCAAAATAAAAATTTTATTAACAATTTTTTTTTTTTTAATTCATTAACCATTACTTCTAATAGAATTATAGTTAATTATCAAATATTATCCTTCAACTTATGTAGTACGTAGTATAGTAGTAACTTAACAAACGAATTTAAGTTACTAAACTTTAAATTAAATTCTAATTTAAATTGGTTTCAAATGGATTGACAGTGGGGATTAGTAAGTACCATTGGCCTAAAAGTATTCAGAGCACTAACTAAACTGTACTAGCTACTAAGAGGTACTCGATATAACGCACTTGGCCCTCTCACTTACTCCACTTACTCATTCGTATAAGCTTACAATCACGTTCGTACAAACTGTACGACAAAAATACACTTGAGGAAAAAAAGGACACTTTTTGATGATGAAAGGAGACTAGGAAGTTTTACGTTCCCCAAGCACTAAAGCCTTCTTTCTTATTGTACTTTCCTAGTTCCTTAATTCAGTCTGTCAATTCGATCCTTCTTTTAAGTACTAGGTCATTGACTGTCATTGCTATAACTCCTTTCCCTGGGTTTTCTTTTTCTCCATTGAGCTGTTACCCAGCATTCGAGAATAATATGGGTAGCAATTTTTTTTCCTTTGAATGGGATCATCATTGAATATTCCCATGTTCAGATGCCAGTGACCGGTTAACAGTCCTATCATTCCTATGAGTTAGCCCTCTCTAATCGTAACAGTGAATTTGCCAGTCTTTATGAGGGTTGTTTTAGCATAAGTTTACTGTATCTAGTCCTCCTAGAGATTATCCATTTCTCCTTTTGCTTTTTTTGAATCCATTCTGTGATGGAGGAATCTGTTTGTTTTAATAGAAATGATATATGATGGAGTGAGTGTGGTGTTCAATCCTTTTTAAAAAGATAGTTCCTACTCACAGTAAGTTGTTTTGCAACCAATTGCAACCATCTGTTTGTTTTTGATATCGCAAGAATAGGCCATGCAGATCCTCGTCAGGCCAGTGTGTCTTCCTTTGTGCTCAAGCTATGATGATAAGTTGTTGTTTCCCCAGGTATTGGAGATTTTGAATGTATTCGCTGACTAATTTTGGTTTTTTACATATAGGTCGAGGCTATCATGTCCACCGTGACTACTTCCTTCATGTAGTTTAGTTTAATTGTTGTTTGGTCCCTCAAACAGAGCTTGTAAGGTATTACTTTGTAGTTTATTTTTAATTGAAATGCACATTCTTAAAGTTTTGTAGGGGCCTAACTTAAGGTTTGTCCCTTTCCATGGGTGGATTGCCATGAGCCATTTCTTGGGACTTTGGCCCTCGCGGTTATCAGGACAGCCCCTTTTTCAACATACCCGTTCCTGAACTGAGGTACTTTGGGGATTTTACAGCTCCAAACCTCAGCTAGAATGCCTGACCAACTGTTAACTTTTTTCTGGGTATTCATCCAATAGCATGGCCATTTTTAGCTCTTTGAGGGTGTGAAGATTCCACAAAGGAATCTTAAACAGGTTTTTTTAGAAATTAAATTCATTGTAAGTATTAAGTTGGAAAGAAAAGATATTTCAGCTAATTGTTAGGAAAGCATATTGTGTAAGATTGGGCAGTCGGAAGTGTCCTAGAATTCTGTGATAACAACCTAGTCTTTCACGAAAACCCCACACATTTAAACAAAGCTGGTGAAATAATAACAGCTGGGTGTTTACGAATGAAAAATATGAGTCATTCCTGGGCAATCGCCATGGAAATATTTACGGTTGTGCTGACAAGTGGCCTTATTGCTCAGTCCCTAGGATTAGCTAATGCTGCCCAGATTGACCCGGAAAAGCTCAAAAACCTGGGGAAGAAAAAGGGGTCACCAGGAAGTATAACAGTATTTCCTAAGCTTGATGGGTTCCCCACCTTCTCCCTGACTGATTGGCTTAAATACTATTCCTAAAGAACTAGGAGGCAGTCAAGAAGTCAGTTAAGAAGGCTGGTGTAGAGAAGAGGTAGTCGGAGTAGAGCTGTCATGGTCAGGCTGTTTAAGTAGGAGCCGTCGTTGCGGGCAGTAGGAGTAAGCCAGGAGTTGGTCAGGAGTCTGCCAGGAGGCAGGATAAGTCGGCCAGGAACTGGCCAGGTGTCGACCAGGAGTTGATGAGGAGTTGGCCAGAAGATTGCTAGGAGTTGGTAGGACCGATACCGGCATTCCAGTACTGTAAGTACAAGATTTAGTATTTAGTTAATTTATAAGTAGTATCAGTTAATTATTTAGAGTTAAGTTGTGTATTGTGTAATAGGGATAGAGAATTGTATTAACTGCTAGGTTTTCTAAAGAGAAGTCTTTTCTCTGCTTCTAAGCCCTTTATGTGAGCCTTATAGAGGTAGGCGCTATCGTTGCCCAGTGATCATCTTGTACCCCTCCACTGGATCTTTGCAGTGCTATTAATGCACCCCCAGGATGGGCCGCACGGAGGCGTCCGGTCGGGATGTCAGAGGGGGGCCAGTGAATGCTGATTTATATTGATTATGACTAATACAACTGCTGAAATATTAAATACACACTATGTAAAAGTAGAACTACTTGTTCTTCAATATCATTGGAACATGGAATAGCCCTTGTTTAAAAAAAGTTCAAAAGTAGTTTATGCAGGCCATCCTTTTTTTCTCATAATACTTGCCACATTTTTACAGTTGCTCTGTAGCCTTCAGGGGTAGCACAGTATCCCAACTTGCATTGTATTTATTAATTTCACGCATCCATTTGATACGGGTTCGTACGTCAATTTGGCATTCAAAGACAGCGTGAAATGCTGATTCGATCTCCCCGCACTCGCATTCAGGGGAATCCTTGAGATTAAATAGGGGAAGTTTGCCAGCAAAGTCCCCATAGTTCGTCAAGAGCTGGGACATATAATGGTCTGGCTCCAAATGTTTCAGCTTTAATCTCTTAGTTATTCTTGGGAACTCCGCATATGTTAATCTCCCTTTTGTTGACGCATCCCATCTTTGTTGCCATTTGGTATTCAGCCACTCTGTCGCCTCGCTCACAGTAGTTACTGGGATACATGGGCTTTTCCCATTCTCTAGTCTCCATTTGGCACATTGGAATCCTGTAGGTCTACCGGGGCTCGTCCTGCTAGTAATTGGAGAGCATCTGTTGAAACTGTCCTATATGCTCTTGTAATAGGCAAAAGCGCAGCACGCTGTGATCGCACAAGCGCTCCCCATTCCGAAGAACAGAGTCACGCAGCCGCGAAAAGATGCCAGTTATGGGAAGAAGTTCAAGTACATTTCCCATAACTGGCAAGAGCGAGATCATGCAGTACGCCCTTGGTAGTTAGATGGCTTGCCCGCTTTGAGAAAAGCGCACACATATGTTCTTTTCCAGACAGTTGGGTAGTAAGTAGCTTAGGTATAGACAGTCCGTCATCAGCTGTTGTACATATGGTGATATCTCTGGGGCGCAGATTTGCATGGTCTTAGCTTCCACGCAGTCACCTCCCGGTGCGCTACTCATCCGATGATTGATTGCTGCCTGTATTTCTTCTTTGGTCCAGCTACGTGGAAAGCATGCTGCAGTAATATTACGAGTATTAACTCTCAAGGTTGCATGTCTGGGTCATCTGTGGTAGGATCATCTTCCATGATGGTCGCTCTTAATAAGGCTTGGCCTGCCACCACTATACCCATGCATTCCCAGCCAAAAGACTGCAGGGCCATCCTACAAGTGACTTTCCCCATTGCCACTTTTGCATGAACACTGTTAACTTGGTCTTGTTCTTCAACAAATTGTTTGCCAGCTGGCCCTCTTCATATTGCGTAGTTTGCATCTGAAGCGTTGCTTGGAATCGTGGTAAGCCAATAGGAGTTCATCTCTTCTATCCATGTCACAACATCGTTGGTACCGGTATCTAGTGGATTGCGCAATTGTCTTCACTTCAACTATTTCTGTGGTCCACCTCGCAGGGCCGGAGTGTCTGGCTGCACATAGGCTGTCATTCCATGTCTCTGACCAGAAAAGTGGTCATAACTTTGTCAACATCTGCACAGTCTCCTGCAGGCCGCAGGAGGGTGTCAGCTTCTTCCACTAAATTTTCCTTCACCAGACAAACAAGATAATCTTATTGACCTTACCTTATGTTACAGGAACGCTTGGCATGCAGGTGAAGATCAGCACGGATCCGTCAGGCATGGTCACTTGTTGTGGCATTGATATCAATACGGAAAAGTGTCATGCAACAGCGGAGTGGCGGCAACTTAAGCATGAGGTCGATGGCTGACTAACCCTGCGCAGCACACGGTAAATGGATGGGGAGTGTTCCGAGTACTAGATCAACCCACTCTTTACTCACCAACCCCAGCACACATTTGCCTCTTGCATCCAAGTGGTCATCTCTCCCACTCAGGACTGTGCACGTTAAAGTTTCCACTTAAAAGACAGTTCCGGCCAGCAAATTTAGCGATCAAGCTCCGCATCATCGCCAGGTCCTCAATTTGCACCACCTGTCACAATACACACCAGGATCTCCTCACTTTCCCATTGAAGAAGGCAGCAAGCTATGTCAGCGTAGCATTCAGGTAGAGCTAGAATTTTTGCCAGGTTGTTAAGAACATAAATGGCCGCACGTGGGGTTTCAGCCGTGTTTGACCTCACTACTCGCTTAGCCTCATGGCTTTGTCAATTCCCTTCTTCCAAGGCTCCTGCACCAACACTAGGTCAATTTGCTGGTCATGAGTAAGGATGCAGGCCTCATCGCTAACTGTTTGGGAGCCATGGTAATTCAGTTGGGCTACTCTTAATGAGGTGCTATTAGTATTCGTGGTCTGTTCATTCTGGGGTTCATTAGTTATGACTCGTTCAGGAGAGTCTGGAGCGATATCAATATATTCGTGGCGCTAGAGGCATTCTCACTAGCAGATTGGGGCAGTGTTCCTTCAGCTTCATTGGGACGTTGTAAGACTTCTCCATAGTTGGTAGAACACTTTACTTTTATACGTACCCTCATTATATATAATTGGACAGGTTCATTATCCTAAAATACTGTGTATTTGACTGATTTTCGAGGGTTGGGTTTACATTTTGTGAGTAATAAGTTTTTGGACTTGAGTTTGATTTAGGAGACCTATTTTGCTCCTCGCTCATCGTTATTTGATGTAGGTGTGAGTTTTTCGCAATGTGTGGTGTGGACTGTGAGTGTGTTGTGAAAACACTCATTGGTGTTGGGTTTCCTTGTTTATAGTTCCTTTCATTAAGGTGTACAAAATTTTGTTGTGGGTTGTGTTTTTGTGGTGGTGAACATAGTGGGTGTTGTTGTGGGTATCTGAATGGTATAGGTGAATACACTTTTGTGTTCCTTACCTGTCCAAAATTTTTGGATCCTTGAGCAGATTGTTGCTGAAAATCATTAGTAAGCATATTGAGCACTTCATTAAGATCTGAGGGGTACCTAGCTTGCAAAAGAGAACTCATAGGCTCTTTTATCCCTTTAATAAAATCCTTAAACCTAACTTCCTGCAGAAGTCATCCAGTGTCAGCATCGTTCTGTATTAAATTATTGAGGTAGCTAATTTTGAGGTAGATTTAAAAGTTTTTGAATCTTTTCGAGAAATTGAAACGGACTCTCGTTAGTTTGTTTTAATTCTAAAAGTTCAAGGACTAGATGTAGATGTAATTTCAGGGTGTAGAATACTGCGCCCTTTAAGAGCTATTGTATCCCCCGTTCTCTGCCTAAAGCACATCGGTGAGTCCTATTTCATCAAGAAACTTGATTAATAGGCCCGGTTTTAATGGTTAAAGCTCTTCTATGGTCACATTATACATCCCAAAAATTTCCTCCTGCGGACTAATGTAGCTCCGCAGTTTGTTAGTAAATGTGTTGGTGTCTCTTCTGCCTCCTTGCAGAATCTACATGTGCCATCTTGGATTGTTCCAATTTTCTTTAGGTGTCCATTTAATCTACAGTGTCCTGTTAGGAATCCTGTTAGGATTCGCAGTCTGTTCCTGCTTCCTTTGACACATTCTGTGATTTCTTTCTTGCCAAAATTGGTTAGAAGATTCTTGGATTGTCTATGTCCAATGAGTGAATTCCATTGTTCCTTCATTTTCTTTTTGTCCTTCTGTCTGAGATATTCGTTAATAGTGTGGATTCCTATGCCACAGAAGGGTTCGGGTCCTATCAGCGGTGTGGCAGCCCCTTTCCTTGCAAGGGTGTCCGCTTTCTCGTTGCCTTCTACTCCCATGTGTCCTGGGACCCAGCAGAGGCTGACTTTATTCTGCATACCTAATATGTTTAGTTTGGTTTTGCAGTTCAGCACCATCCTTGAACTAATGGTATTTGAGCTTAGTGCTTTGATGGCTGCTTGGCTATCTGACATGATAGCTATATTCTTGTTTTTGTATCCTTTATTTAGATTGAATTGGATACATCTTTCAATTGCATGAATTTCAGCTTGGAAGATACTGGTGTGCTTTCCCATGGGTTCTGAGTATTTGGTTCCGGGTCCGAACACTCCTGCCCCCGTACCTTCCTGTGTTTTAGATCCATCTGTGTACCAAAGGATGGTGCCATTTTTGAGGGAGTTATTTCCCTCTTTTTCCCATTCCTTTTTGGTGCCCAGATGTATTCGGAATTTATGGTTAAATTCAAACCTCCTGTTCATGTCGTCTCTTGGAGCCATGAGTGAAGGATGGTTTTTCCACAGTTTGTTTCTGTCTCTCCATTTCAGTTTTATTCCTGTTGGAGGTTTCTCTCTAATAAAGTTGATTACGGTTTTCTGTGCTGTCCTTTCTACCATGTGATGTAGGGGGATTAGTCCTAATATCTTTTCCATGCTAATTGTAGGACATTTTCTCATTGCTCCCGTTATGCAGATGCATGCAAGTCTCTGTATTTTTGTGAGTTCTTTCCTTTTGCTTATTTGTTCTGCTTTATCAGCCCTGGCTATAGCTCCGTAAGTAAGTAAAGGTCTTACTATCATGGTGTACATCCATAACAGGGTTTCTGGTCTCCATCCCCAGTTTCTTCCTTCTATTCTTCTGCACTCGTGTCGCCTTTGTGATGATAGAGCTGATGTGTTTCTTAAATGTTAGTATTTTATCTAGTGTGATGCCCACATATTCGACTTCATTTTTGATTTCTATCACAGTGTTGTTGAGTGTTATTTCTTTCATGTGATCTAGTTTCCTTTTCCGTGTAAAAGTGACTATAGTGGATTTGGATTGATCCCTAAGCCTGCGCTTTTACACCATTCTTCTGTGATTTTCAGTCCCTCGTGGATTATATCGCAGAGGGTTTCCTCGAATTTTCCCCTGGCTGTCAGAACTATGTCATCTGCATATCCCTGAGCGGTCCAGGGTTTCGAGCAGTTAATTAACTGTTAGGCTCCATAGAAGAGGTGATAATATCCCTCCTTGAGGACATCCTTTTGTTGTTCTAACTTCTGTAGTGTTTATTCCTACATTTGTTTCAGCTATTCTGGTTCTTAGCAGTTCTCCAATCCATTTAGATGTGGTTTGGTCTACGTGTTTTTTCCCCTGGGAGGCTTCCATTGATGCATGAGATGCATTGTCGAAAGCTCCCTCAATATCGAGGAACGCGCAGATTTCTATTTCCTTTGTTTCCAGTGTTTCCCTTTAGATCACTGGTTAGTTGGTACAGTGCAGTTTCTGTTGATCTTCCTGCTCTGTATGCATGCTGACAGTAATGGAGAGACTTGTTTACCAGCGCTGTCGTTCTTATATAGTTGTCTATCAGCTTTTCAACGGTCTTTAATAGAAAGGATGTTAAGCTGATTGGTCTGTAGGATTTAGGTGATGTAGAGTCTTTTTTCCCCACTTTTGGTATAAAAACCACCCTTGCCCTACAATCTGTGGTATGTAACCTAGTGCTAAACTACTTCTATATAATCGTAGCAATGTTGGAGTGATTAGATCCATTCCTTTTTGTAGCAGGATGGGAAAGATTCCATCCGTTCCTGGTGCTTCGGACGGGCTGAAAGTTTTTCGCCCAGAGGATTTTCTTTTCTGTGATTATTTCAGCTGCTTTCTTCCAGTTTTGTTTCTTGGGATTATCTTTTCTCACATTTTCTGGGGAGATGTTATAGGTACTGCCTGGAAAATGTGTACTTAGAAGGAGCATTGCTTTTTGTTGCATGTCTTCTGTGTATTTGCCTTCTGCATTTCTTAAGGCAGTGTTTATGTCTGATCTGTCCTTTGTGTTGTCCTCTTGTGCAATCTAGCTGCTGTGGATACTGTGGAGATTTCTCCGCAGAATTTGCAAAAATTCTCTCTTTTCGCCTTGCGGATGGCACGGTTATATGAAGTAAGTAGCCTTTTATATTCTCCCCAGTTACTTCCTAGTCTAGCCTTGTTAAACGCTTTTCTGGTTTCTTTTCTTAATTTGCCCAGTTCTGCATTCCACCAAGGTGGTTCTTGTCTACTTTTGGGACCTTTACAGGGCAGCTTGTTTCATATGCATCAATTATATTTCCTGTAAGTTCCCTAACTGCAAGTTCCAATTCATTGCAGGTCTTCGGTACTCTTTTCACTGTTGCATGGTTTAAACTATGTGTTACCATCTCAGTGAACTTTGCTCAGTTTGTGTTTCGGGGGTTTCTGAACGGTGTAGGGTCTATCCTATCTGATTCGATGTCGAACCTTATTATCTGTGGTCCGACATCGACTCTTCACCTGAAACCCTCCAATTTTTTTTATCACTTATGTAGGGCTTGGCTGCAAGTGGTGATATCCAGTACTTCTTGTTTCACTTTGGTGACAAAGGTAGGGATTGATCCTATATTAAGTATATCTAATTTTTCCTTCACCAAAAATTCTATGAGTGCCTCACCTCTTTTGTTGTTTTTGGTGCTTCCCCAAATTTAATGATGTGCGTTGGCATCACATCCCACCAGCAAGGGGAGATTCTTCTTGCTGCAGTAGCTGGCTAGCCTTCGTAGCTCAACAGGGGGAGGGTGTTCCTCTTCTCCTGGGAAGTATGCCGATGCTACTACTGCTTCTTTTCTCTTCCCTCGATTGGTATTTCTACCTTGATGGGAACTAAATCTCTAGTCATGAATTCTGGAAGACAGAGATGTTTTTCCTAATCAGTATACATGCACAGGGATTTTCCTGTCTGGAATCCCATACAGTCTTACCGTCTTTAAAGGACAAACCTCTAATTTATCCTTTCCACTGCCCATAGATGTTGCACAGTGAACATCCTAGCTATTACTGCCGAGGCAGCTTTAGCGTGGTGGATGGGACCATTCTCATTTCCTCCATGTATGGTTATTCTTTTGGGGTAGGAGGAGGTGTCTCCTCTCCCAATGGCTTCTCCTCAGTGAGCACTCCTGGCTCCGTCTGTAGAGGAGGAGGGGTCCCGGTCTCCAGGATAACCTGGTCAACCTCCATCTCAGCAGTATTTTTGGAGGTAATCTTCGTGGGTGGAGGCGTCGCTGTAGGGGCCTGCTCCGTTTGAATTGATGGGGGGTGATTGGGGTGGAGGTGTGAGATTTCTCTCGTTTTGGAGCCTCCTCCCCCCTCCCTTTTTCAGGCCCCTAACAGGGATCTCCAAAACGAAAATTGAGGGTATGTCCTCTTGAGATTATCGTTTCTGCTGAGATGTCGTCGATGCTCAGGATCATGACAATCCTAGGCCCCTCCGCTTTCACTGAGTGAACTTTCCATTCCTCAGCGCAGATCCCATCGTTCTGCGCTTTGACCAGCGGTTCTTTGGTTCTTTGTTCTTCGCCTAGTTTTGTCCTAGGGAAGAACACTACTATCAAGTGAGGTTTGGGAACATCCTCCCCAACCCTGACTGTTAGTTTCTTTTGTTTATTTAGCTCCAGTTTGGGAGCTATTTCCTGCAGCCATTGAACAGTTTTGCCATCTTGACAGTCTAAGACCATCATACCTGGCCTGAAGTGTATGCCTTCGAACTGTATTTTGGCTTCCCATCCTTTTAAAATTTCTTCAATGAGGGTCTCCTCCAGATGGGTCAGCTCTTCTGTTGTTAGAGTTACCAGAGGGTATTCCTCCGGTAGCAAAGCCACTCTTATGATCTTTACTGCTCCAGTGTAACTTACGCTTGGAGCAGCCTCCCTGGCTTTAAACTGCGCCTGAGGAGTGGAAGGCTTTGCTTTCTTGTCTCTTCTCAGTTCCTTAGGGGTAAGAGATTGCTCTCTTGCCCTCTTACTGGATGATTGTACCTCCAGTTTCTCTTTTTGGATTTTAGCCTTCCTTTCGTCGGCTAATCTCCTTGCTTCTTCGGGTGTTTTCCCCGATTTTATTGATCTCAGGTACCATTTGGTCATAGCACCGCTAAGACCTTTCCTGAGAGGGTCGACTTTCCCGCCTGGTTCTCCCAGCTTTGGTAATTCGGCGAAGACTTTTTTCTTTCCTTTTGGTTTCCCAAGAGGAGGTCTATATCTTCTAGTGTCGCTACTTGAAGGTAGTGAACCCTTCGTTTGTGTGGTGTTGAATTTCCCACGTTGCGACTGGTGTTTTTCTTTAGAAGGGAGAGGTGGTCTCTCCTTTGTTTCTAAGGACTGAGTGTCCATCTGGGGGTTAATCCCCAGATTACTTGTTGTATTTGGAGCAATGAAATCCTGCTCTAGGTTTTGTTTTTCATTTACTATACTCATGTAATTCCCACGAGTAGCTAGGGAACTATAAAGTCCGCTCCATCAGAACCCCGCATGATGGAGTAAGGCTAATTACTCTCTGATGTCGCCCGGTGTCAGAGAGGCTCCGTTCAAGACAGCCACATTAACTCACTCGGCACGGAACGCATGACACCTTTGATTGTGGCGGATGCTGTTTTCTGTCAAGCCCAAGACTCTTTTTAGGGGGTGATAGGATGGAGGGAGAGGGGTTGGTGGTAGGAGTTTGTTTAGTGAGGAGTGGTTAGGAAAGCGAGTACCTCACTTAGGGATAGGACACCAGAGCCCCTTTAGCCTTTTCGCACCGTACCATGCCGTGGGGATCAATGTGAATCCCCCCGTCAGGACGGCGACGAACGTTTCCCGGGGTTCACTACTTGGAAGCGGGGTTGTTCTTTGAACCTCAAGTTCAAGGACTAGGGTGTAAATGTCCCTCTTGTCTGAGTAACTGGTTAACAGTGCATTTTTTATTTCTGGCCAAGTACTTGCGCCTGATTTGAAGGCTATTTCCGCCACCGGTCCCTGAATTTTCGAATTGATACTTGCCAACAAATACTCATTTTGAAAATCTCCTGGATTTGCCACTATGTAAAATTTGTCAATTGATTTTTGATAAATACTAATAAACCTTGCTAACACTTCAGGTTCACCCTTAAATGTAGGTATCATACTTGCTTTTTAATGTTTCTGAAAATGGGGGATTCATTTAATTAATGATTATTTTTGATAATTTAATTAATTTTTTCAAGTTTTTTCAACTCCTTTTTTTACTTAAAATTACATAAAAACTGTTTTCTTAAATTTTTTATAAGACCTATTTTGTTGGTTGTAATGTCATGCTAAAATTGATAAAAGTTTTTAATCAACTCACAGTACTAGGCGACATGCTTCCATGTGAATACCTGTGTAGAATCTCTTCGATTGATGGGTCCTTGCGGTGAACAATTAAATTGAAAATTATATTCCCTAATCTTCTCCGCAGGTGTCCTAGGACTGCGCAAGTTACTGTTTTGATGTGAGAAACTAAGTTTTTACAAAAAACATTTATTTAATATAAACTTACAAACTTTTACACATTCAATACAAGAGTTCTAATGAAGTATGTATCTAGTTTGGAGTCCCGAGTGGATCTAAAGTAAAAGAAGGGTCTTGATGCTTAGCTCGATAGTTTACATCAGCATTTATTAAGTTGACTCCAGGCCTAATGACGATGTAATATATATAAATTTCTGACAAATAATTTTCCTATTTTGTGTATTTTCTTACAGAAAACTTTTATGGTACATTCGTCGTTAAAAAGCTACGATCTTCTTTCAAATTGTCTGTTTGATGTTAAAATCCTTTTAGCCATTTTTGAATTATAGCCGTTTCAATCAGATATTACGATAATTACTTCTCAAAAATAAAAAAAAATTTAGGGGTTAAAAATATTTGGTTTTTAGAAATTTTTGTTATTGATAAACTTTGATAGATTTTACTATATTTTATTGCAATCTAAATAAAAAATGCAGTAAAATGATATATTCACATAATTGATTTGATGCAAGTAGAACACCAAAATAGAAATTAAAAAAAAAGGGAAATTTGAACTTTCATTTTTTTTCCAAAACCAAGGCCTGTTCACTGTGTGCAATATTTTGGAGTGTAGAATCACCAAAAAAAGTTTGGTACAAATCTGTGACTCATCAACCTGGTCGTCCTGGTAGGTTTTAGTATTGCTAGCGTTCACTTGAATCTTGACACACTACACTTGAGGCTCTATTTTTGTATAAATTCCTTAACAACATATACTCCTAGATATACCCCTTGTTACTTCAACTAATTAATTATCCCACTAACCGAACCTGATTCTGCTCGCTCTTCTCCACTTCTATCTCCAAATACCTGTACCATTCTTCTAGACTTGCATACAAAATTAATATCGACTTCTTTAACAACTCTCTCGATCAGTTCAGAAATTCTTTAAAACCTATCCTCTAGTCACTTACTACCTTTCCATATATTCAGTCTTACATATTATAATTATATTATTATTATTACATATTATTGGGTTGTCCGGAAAATAATGCAGGATTTTAAGTTTTCATTAAAAAAAATCTATATAAAATANTTATTTCTTATAAATTTTATAAATATACTTTTCTATTTGTTGTATATTTTCTATATTTTCTAATTGTAAATTTTAATTTACTTTGTAACTGTTATTTTTCTACAAGTTGTACATATGAAAAAAAGGGCATGGCTGCCCATTAAATAAATAATCAATTAACAATCCATTATATCCTTTATAGTGCAGATGTTGCCCTATGTCTACTACCCTGTGTACATCTTTTGCCATTGACACAGCTGTACTATCTGTTGATCCTTATCCTAAGGTTGCTTCAGGAGATCTTCAGAGACAAATATGTATAGCAGATTTAGACAATGGAAAATGAAGATAAAAGAAAGCAAGTCCATCCATCTCACATTTACACTCTGAAACAAATCTCTAATGTTCTACTGCAACACTACTCCTATACCGAAATCTGACTCCATTCGTTACCTTGAGTTCAACCTAGATTCGAGCTTAACTTGAAATCAGCAAGCATAACTGAAACGACAACTAAACAGATGCTACGGTCTACAAACTTATAGGACAACGATCTAAGCTATCGATGAAAAACAAACAGTCTACGAAATGCTACTACGTACTGATTTGGACAGATGGAATAGAACTGGGAACTGCTAAACCTTCCTATACCCAACGTCTACAATCTTTTCAATCTAAAGTCCTCAGATCAATTATAATTTCCCAATATTACCCTCCACAATGTCCGTACCTAAAAATTAATTCCCAAAAAATATACCGTGTTCCACATAAACTTTACCATATAACATTACTCTTGCCCAAGCCTTGTCTGATAGAACCGATTCTTACAATCCAATAGTTAAGTTTCAATTGTGAAGTGAAGTGGGAGAATATTGATTATTTGCTCCTCTCAATGTAAATATGTAACTAGCTGTATTATGTAATACGCAAATTACATGCTTTAATTAGAAATTGCAGTTACATAGTTATTTACATACTATTCACTCAGGGTGGTGGGGTACTTGTTATTCCTTCATCACCCTTTACACCTATAAGTATTACTATAATAAACCCTTTACACTTGATATTATTTAAAATTAACTTTAAGAATTTTTTAAAAATATTTTATTGAGTACCTCATCAACCCTATAATAGGTTAGTTATATAATATTTTATTAAGTTACATATCAACTCTCTCAATAGGTTAGTTATATAATAACTAACCTATTATTATTATATAACTAAATATAATTAATATATTATATAACTATTATTGTATAACTATATGTTATTATATAACTAACCTATTAGAGGGTTTATGGGGTACTCAATTAATAAATGACTGAAAAATTAACGTTTAAATATTACTTACTTTATTTACAAAATTAACGATTGTAGCAGATCAAAATGACAAACATTTAATGAATTTGAACGGGATGGTTAGGGATGGGGGGCCGTTAATGGCCGCAACGGTTTAGGCATTGACTCGGCGCTCATCACTGTAAGGTAAAGGTCCCGGGTTCGAATCCAGTGGCCCTGCATTCGAACCCGACATCCTTACAAATGGGATTTTTCTCAAAAACATCAGCACCCCGAGGGTAAATATAACCTCGTAGTTGAAATACCCTTGTAAAAAAATATATTAAAAGAGAGTGAGAGCCATCTGACTTCACTTCAACAGTTTTTTTCCACCTTTTCCCTCTCCAACAAGGTAAGTACTAAATTGCTAAATTATGACAGGATAAATTGTATAAATATACACAATTGTCTTATGTATAAAAATTGGCAGTTATATTTAAATTTCTCATGACTGACTAAATCAGCACAACCAAATCATATTTGATAAGTAATTCCAGATATTGAAATTTACAGTAATTTACTAGCAGGCATCGAGATTCACCCACCCATGGGTGTTGGTAGTCAGGGGTCAGTCCTCGAACTTATTCTCTGTACAGCCACCGGGTTGGCTCCGGATGCTCTCTTCGATTGTAACTTTGTTTATTTTGCATCTTCCTAATCTAATCCTTTTAGGATCCCTTGTAGTGACTTCCTGCCTCTAAACGGGGGATGGTTACACAGATATTTATAGATACACCACGCTCTGCTGATCTGTGCGACCATTCCCTGTTTAGAGGCAGGAAGCCACTGCAAGGGATCCTAAAAGGGTTAGATTTAGGAAGATTCAAAATAAACAAAAAGTTATTTCGAACATAAATCTATTATCATTACCATAATTTCTGACATGGAATGGATTACAGTCCTCAATAAAAAATTAATTAAACCCTGATTATAAAATACCCAACACCAAATTAAAACAAAATAATTTCTTCTGGTAATAAAAATAATAGAACAAAAAAATAAATGGAGATTAATAAAGAAATAAATTCCTGTGCTATTAAAACAATAACTAATCTTATAAACTAATAAAATAAATTGAGGCAATCAATGGTTTGAAAAGCATGTAAATATTTACAAGGGTGTAGTGCCATCTTCACTCCAGTTCAGTCCCCGATACACCTGAAGGGTCTAGCCCAGCGCACCTTATCACAGCTTCTTCCACTACTTTACCACCACTTTACCGTTGTGGTCCCCCACATTTTTCTGCGATGGGACTGTGATGATATTGATGAAGTATTCAACATGGAGCACACTCCACATTCACACTAATAAATACATTCACTCTCAACATGCCTACATTGTGTACCCTAACAGCGCTATATACAAAAAAACAACCCTGTTTTCTTCAAGAATCGGAACAAGGGACACAAATACTCACTGCCGAGCTCATGCAAATTCTCATATGAGTTGCATTCTTACAGGCTCGCTATAT